AGAGTTTTTCCCAATAGTTCCCCATAATTTTATAACACTTTGAGGTTTTCCCTAGTAATTTTCAAAAACTTAGAAAAATATACCAAACTTCTCACGAATTTGGGGAAAACTCAAAATTCCTCAAAGTTTCTCCAAAACAGGGAGAATAGGTATCGCACTGTAAAATAGAAATCAGACTCAAACCAAATGCAAAGGGTCGAATAAGAGACGACTTGACGAACAATTTAGAAGTATTTACTCCAGGCCTTATTCCAGCGAAACTAAACAACCCGGAATTTTAATTACTAAAATCAGTTGGTTTCTATTCGACATGCATCATCAAAGTAAAAAGACTAGGAATTTGCCAAAAACGACGAAAGGTTTCTTAGAGAAGTAAGGACAAAGCACAAGAAATATACGAGTACTCACAAATCGACTTTACTCCTGAAGAGAAAGTCACCTTATCACTTGAGGTAACGTTTGTGTCAAATATACACCGCGAAGCAACAGTTTGTGTCCAATATCCAATCACCTCAGTCGGTTTTCAGTAGAAAGGATAAGAGTCAGTCAATTTATATTAAACTTTGCGACTTGTAGTACGATAAAAATCTAATCTTGCTTCGAATATATCAACAGAAGGTGCTAATATTATGTGCTCTAGTAATTCTCTACTCGGTGGAAGAAATGGAACTCCTGACTTAAGCGGTTTGATTTTGGTTTGTGAAGTTTCTTGGGCTACTGTCTCAGTTTATCAGTCTTAGACGGAAGGAGAATGTGAGACAAGCGTGGTTAGTTTTTATACCAAATGCGATGTATTGTTGTGGGGAGTCATAAGTTTTTTTTCTTTACGAATAAGCTGATTTCGACCCAAAACCAGTCGTTGTCTTAGTAATAAATGACTTTTAACCTTTAAAAAATTTGGCCATACATCCGCTCGCTCCTAATTCGTAATAACGTGCCCAAAGAAATATATGTGAGTTGCAAAGTTACAGATTGTTGTATGGAAAATACAGTTTATACCCAACAGAAGCTTCAACGTTATGTATAGGGTTATTCATTCTTCTCACTTAGGCAAAAACATTTTATTTAAAGCTCAATTTCCAAGTTGTTGGTACTTCTAAACTCGCACTGAAAGTTTGATTTATTGCACATTGCCATAGTTTGCATGGATTGTGAATGATTGAGAATATTCTGATACATTGGGTTAGCTTGTCAGAATGCTTATACTATGTCATTTTTGAAGCGATTATGAGTTCAGCTAATCTGAGAACGGAAAGAAGATTCTGTGACACAATGATAGATAAGCTAGCTATTATGACGCGTCTCAGCCCCGCTAACCAGGGAGAGAAGTCCAAGTTCGAAAAGGTGAAATATATTCCGCAAGCAGTCAGGAGCACGAACAATAACGACAGGTACAAATCAAACGTGTATATACAGCATAAAATTGTCATTGGTAAGACTAGCACCGGCTGTCCTAACTTTAGTCAGTATCACATCAGAATAAACATCAACGTCATATGGTGAACATTGCCATACCAGTCTTTCATTAGAGGCCGGAGAAACTCCATAGCCGGTGGTCTGTGACTGCCACAGTCTCCAGCTACAACCATCAAGACAGTTGTCTTCATTACGCTATGAATATGAAAAACAGGATGCTTTTTTAATTGACGCCAATCACCGAACTTGATAACAAAAACCTTGATCTCATTGTATAGCAACTAACGTGCAATTGAGTTTGTTCACATTTAATTCGACTAAGTCATTTTGTTAACTTATCAACGAATTGAGTCATCCGTACAACAACAACAACAATTTATCTTTATCATTGTATCATTATTATCGTTGCGAATGGATGAACATGTATGCTTGAACGTTGCTTACTGCCTACGCATATATTCACTCTGCTAGCCTTACTACCAGTCGCTTAATAGAATCGATGATTCATTCATTTCATTATGTATATATATGTCCATGTTATTCATGTTCATTGTTCTCTCGCTTATCTGTACTCGCTTACTCGTACTCGTATTCGCTGACTCGCTCGTTAGTTCGCTTGCCTGCTCGCTTTTCGGCAATGCTCTATCATGCAGGCTTAACGTTCCCGTAATTTTGGATATCTTTGTGCGGTCCCATAGTAAACGTAATCAACACTTCATATTCGCCTTCTGATTAGCATACCGTTGGAGCGTTACCTAGTGACGGTTATCAAGACGAACTGTATACGAAGTTTAAGGATTATATTGAATACCGACCACTACAATTGTCGTATTTCAAGCCTCCAATGGCTCTTACACAAGTGCTTATAACACAATACATAGTGTAGCGAACGTGAACACAAATGGTGACAACGAAAATGTATTTCAACACAACATCACAGAATCGCTTATTAAAATCTGAGAACATTACAGTAAATTCTTCATTTGCGAAACGTCCAACAATTTTCTCAGAACTGACTGATTCTTCTTTTCCACACCAATCACTTTCTGTTCTCGTTCTCTTTTCTTCGATTTTAATAGCCCTCTGCCACCGGGCATTTCATTTTCAATATGTATCACTTATATATGTCAACAACAGTAGCACACACCACAATAGTACTAATCTTTTAGGACTGCTATGTACTGCCTCCCCTAAGACTAGTTGAAGTTAGGTATAGGCCGGTAATAATGCAATTCCTACGCTGCTAGAATTAAAGACCGAATCTAAAATTATTGAGTTGTCACGTTATGAATACCTAGATATAAGATCTTATGTATGAGTCACATCACTGTCAATACTGACTCGTCTGATTGCGACAGTCATTTATATGATTTTTATGAGGACTTCAGGAACAATTTTGATGTTGCCATGCCAAAAACGCTGATTTCTCGCCATTCAAAAAACTAAGAGTATGTTTCAGAAATCGTTAGCTGGTATACATCGCATGCAATTTCAATACCAAAAGGACCATATCCGAGGGAATATTTATACACTCATTAGAGAAGACAATTTGACGTCAAAAGGTACACCAATAAATTGAATCAGTTTCAAGATTTGTAACGAATAACATTTCAAAAAGGCGAATTGGAAAAATAGTGATATACAAGAAACAGACTCAAAAATTTATTCGTATTGTGACGTATAGTGTCCAAAATATGGTACTGATACACGGTGTGATACGTGCTAACCCCCGAAGTGACTATTTGAGAGAGAACACTTGAGTGAGCAAGAAAGTGCAATCGACTACCGAATAAAATGTACAAATGTTAATTCGTATAAATATCACTCTAATCCTTAGGAAATTGATCCATTCCTCAGGCAATCAAATGCAATTGTTCTTTAGGCTACCTCTGATTGCCGTAGACTGACCTTCTCTCAGGGCTATTTCTGATTGGCTCTCCATATGACTTTTCCAGAGAAATAGGTCTTGTCCAAAGGATTTAGCTGAAGACATTGAGAGAAACGTCTTCTTCTTCATGATTTGTTTTGTGTCTGGCCATCACTTCTTCTGCGTCTATTCTGATGCTTCAAACTGACTGTGTCAACTAAATAATCTGATTGCAGATTTGAGCCAAGAGGTTCCTTGTTTGAGTTTATTCATCTATCACAGATATAGTTTACATGTTTTCCATTGAAAAGTGATGTTTAATTCTCGTTACTTCGGGTTTATAATCTTGTCCTCTTCTTTGTGGATATATGCTATCAAAAGAAGTCGGAGTCTTCCTTCCGAAAATTAACTTAGCAGAGAAAACACCCTTAGATGGCGATTACGTCAGTCGTGCCCTCACCTTGTTATCATTTTGAAAATCACTAGAAACAATTTGCCTTTGTTTGTGTAGCATATGAGGATATGAACATAATTGATTGCAAATAAAATTAGATGACTGATCGAGTATTTTGGAATTTGGATTACCAATTAAATTAAATGGCTAATCAGGCTTTTTTAATTCTGTGACCCAATCAAGACCCAATAGTTTGAAGGACTTGTAGCGTGGGTCGAGTCGCGAATGACTATGAACACCACTACAAGAAGACTTTGTGCCAGTTAACCGATAAAATCCCTCGTAAGCCAAATATCAGAAGGCAGTTGGTGGCTGTAGTCGAGATCTATTTATTGGCGATCTCGTGGTACCGAAAGGCTACCGAGATCGTGCCGAAAGAATACAAGCGCGGTTACCTAGCGTAACCGAACCCGTGAAAGGTCACAATCGAAAGGTAATGGATGCCGAAGCAGTAATATGGCTGTCTTTAACACAGTTAAACAAACGAGCACAGTAAAACAATCACTGGTACAATTGGTTATATTAATGATTGTTTCCATTAAATCAATCGCGTTCTCTTGATAAAAGTGGAGCACTACAGACATAATACTATAATAAGTATGAAATATGTTCTTTTTATGTGCAATACATTCCTACATTCTTACCTCATTTCTTTATAAAACTCATTGTTAGATCAGCCAAAAATGAGTAAAGATTTTTCAATTTCACTCTAACAGTCTCTTGAAATTATCATAATGGAATATGTATACATGTTTTAGTGTATTCATTGTAAAGTTAATTGTTACAAAAACAACATTTTGTACTTTCACTGTATAGTCTTTTTATCATGATTACAGTATATCTCGCTAGCTTGACATTTTTGCCATTAACTACCTACCTACCTACCCGTTAACTGATGATTTATATGTACTGATAAGTAATTTAGTTTACATTGATGTATGTAAACACAATAGATTAACTGATTAGAAATTATCGGAAGGGGTTTTGTGGAGATTTTAGTAATTTTATAGTTTAATTCATGAGTCAGTTGAAGCTAGACCACCATGAAAAACCTGGTAGCACTGGGTGGGTTCGAATCTCACGGAGCGGAATCGTGAGTACGCACTGCTGAGGAGTCCCACACTAGGACGAGACAGCCGTCCAGTGCTTCCAGGTTTTCCATGGTAGTCTAGCTTCAATTGACTCATGATTAGGAATTGTCTGAATTATTCATTTTGTATATTAATTTCAGTATGGTAAAATGATAGAAATTTGATCACATGAGATATATTCAGGAGTTAAAATGTTTATGTCAATGATAGAAGGCATTCAATGATATTTTTCATAATGAACAAATGAAAGTTATGTATTTAAAACATGAAATAATAGTATTAATTTCAATTAAGAGAAGACAAATAAAATAAACGAGTTTTTAGTTGTTTCACCCAATGTCTACAAACGTAGATGTGAACTATTTGAAATAAACATGAATAATAATAAACAAAGTTGGTCCATATTATAGATCTAAATTTTCAAGACTATTGAATAAGCAGAGATGGATATTGGCTAGCAGTGGAATCCAGGACGTGCGCTTCGTCCTATTTGGGACTCGTCAGTTGAATGTACCCTCATCTCGGTTTTTCTTCACTCTGGGACTCGAAGTCAGTGCCGTTAGCTTCAAACGTCATCGCATTATCCACTTAGTTACTGAGTCCTGATAGCCACCTGAGATGCAGGCAGATCCAGCTGATGAGTTCCAAATAGGACGAAGCGCGTCCTGGATTCCACTGCTAGTCACTATCCACTTTTGCTTAGAAAGTTGGTTTATATTATGGATCAGAATTTTCAAGATTTTTGAATAATTACTTATTGAAAAGCTTTCACTAGCTTTATCCAGTATATTTGTGAATGAACATTTATGAAATACTTGAGACAAGCACATAATTATACGACTTTAGAATTGAATTGAATTGACCGGCTTTGTAAATTATTACTTGATATGTTCACGTGATCTTTGAGAACTGGATCTTTCAATCGGATTAGTTCGTTTCTATTCTTCAATTTTACGGTTTCCTGTATTGTTTAGTTTGTTAGGAACCTTTAGTAGTATGATTTTCTCTTATAATTTCATAAAAACATTATTCAATGAAGATAATCACATACTATTTTTTGAGGTGAATATAAATAAAACAATAAAATTCAATGTAAATACTTAAGAATTTTATTCAAATATCCATAATTGTTATCCTGAATTGAACAGCCATTGTTGTATACTTGACATCGGAGGGATCTTTTTGCATGACGAGATTGGTTTCGGTAACCAATGACCCAGGTGACATACTATGTATTTAGGACCATCTAAATAATATTCTTTAGGACATGAGAATATTATAATTGTTTCTTGTTTTAGGATTATTTTTGATTCATGAAAATCAAATAACATTCCATCAAATGAAACATTTGCTTTTAATGGTGCAGTTATGTCTATAGGCGGACAATGCACTAGAAATGGAAAATGAAAATTATTTACCGCTTAAATAAGTACAAAAACAAGTGATTTTTATCAATTTTTCAATGGTTACATATGATAATTAACATGTGCTCACTAGTGACTAGCTTCGTGACGGAATTCTCAGAGCTCTAGTGAGAAGCCGTGACCAGTCCCACAAAAGAACGAAACAGCCGTCCAGTGCTTCCAGGTTTCCCATGGGGTTCTAGCTTTAATTGAATCATGAACCCAACTATTAAATTACATTTTGAAAGTTTATTAAAGTGAGACAAAAGAATACAAGTAGTAAATAGGGGAGAAGATAAATGGTATATTGTGCTTAAGTTTTACTGTTGACGAGTTAATTTTCACCCAGATGTAGTAATCTATGAATGAAATAATCAATCTATCAAACTGTAAGAGTGCCTATGTTGGTATTCAATATAATAATTTCGAAATCAATGGGTATATGAGTCTATAGATTTCTAGCAAATCATAACTTGGATATAAATCGTAAACAAGTGAGATGTAATCGTATCAATATGTGACATAAAATAACTGGAATAAATTTATTCTTCATCTGCATAATAACTCACATAAGGATAAAATATACTCCTTTATTTTTTCATTGAGGTCATGAACCGATTGATGTTAGACCACCATTGAAAATCTGGGAGCACTGGACGGCCGTTTCGTCCTACTGTAAGACGCCTCAGCAATGCGCATCCATGACCCTGCTCGGTTCATGATCTCAATCGAGAATTTAATAATCTCCACAACCCTATACTGATAATTACTATGTGTTCACTAGTGACTAGCGTCGTGAAGGAATTCTCGGAGTTCCAGTGAGAAGCCGTGACCATTGGAGCTCATCCGTGTCGGATGGAAACAGGCATCTGTCTCAGTACAATGTAAGATGGTCGCACAATTTCGTGGATTGGTTGAAGTTAGACATTAACACTGTTGGATGCCGGCTCAGTGATCTAGTGGTTACGCGTTCGAGCGCGAGACTGAAGGCCCTGGGTTCGAATGCCATGAGCGGGACCGTGAATGCGCACTGCTGAGGAGTCCAACAAAAGGACGAAACGGCTGTCCAGTGCTTCCAGGTTCTCAATGGTGGTTTAACATCAATCGGTTTATGATCTCAATCAAGAACATGATAATCTCCACAACCCCATATTGATGATTACACAAGTTATCATTAACTTTCGCTTCGATAATTGTTCATAGTTATATTTATTTATTTATCTACCATATTTATATACATATTACATCATGTATTATTTCAGTGTCTTTAAATTGCTTTGAATGATTTTCAACATTAATTCCGATTAGGTCAGCTCTAATTAGTGGTTGATATATATTACTAAAATAAGCCATTAGTGCTCGTTTATTTGAAATTAATATGTAACTTTGAAGTGTTAGTTACATATGTATAGTCTGTTTCAATTTTTCACTTTTTTGCTTACTGTATAATTAATGAAGAAATATTTTAAAAGTAAATAATACATAAGGCGATTTGACTAACTTGGTTCGAATTTCAAGGGAGCTCCAACCCATTCACCATATAAGCAACGTAAAGTTCCTTTAGGATCTTCATATGTATTCACTTTGTCTATTTGATGTAGATTCTTAGGACTATCAGTCATCATGTAGCCAGGAAATGGTTCATATCTTGCTAAGGAGTTGTGTTTCAGACTATAAAATCTCACCCTGGCACCAGGATAACTTGGTGGTTGTCTTCTGCATGGAGCTTTGATAAAAGATAGTAAATGAACATAAATATTGTTTAAACTCTAAAACCTATATACATGATCCAAACTAAGTCAATAAAGGTTACAGTTAAGAAAACTCAACGTTATATCGCTTTTCGGAATAATTTGTATCATCTTATTGTTAACATTCTGGACTGAAGTATTGACCAGTCTTAGTTGAACTCTGTGTATTATTAAAGAACTGAATCGATGTAGCCGTTTTCACATGTTTTCATAGGGTAGATCACTTCAAGTCCCTGAGTGAACACCAACAACGAGATTCAAATACATCCAGACAGCGAGTCACTCAAAGAACTGTTAGATATATTTCATTTATCCTACAAAACAGGTGTCATAATGGATGTATTGAGGTAATCCTCATAAGATGTACATAGTCAAATAAAACTGATCAAAAATTCAATCCAGAATGTCAACATAAAAACCTTTTCAATAACGATGTAAATATTATGCCAATTTCACAAAGGAGTGGCTCTATGGATTGAGTATTTCAGCGAAGAATGTGTTGGATGATTGAAATGAACGATGCTGTATTAAATACCCGATGTGATTATCAATACTGAGATAGGGATATACTTAAGTGGCAAATCTCAAATTGGATGAAACTCACGTTTTGGATTTCATTATTAGTCAAAAATTCATTCCTTCTATAAATGATTAACTTTCTTTCAGTGTAATAGTAATTAGAGTACTTTGAGAGAACTGTCGATCTGCAATTATTCTTCTAAATGGAATAATTTTAGTTACCCTATTTTGTTACTTACTTGAGAATTACATAAGCATATATATTATATTCCTAGGACAGAGTTGGATGGAGAGTGCTGGTGGACGGCCTATTCTCCTCCACGAGGAGTAACAAGCGTAAGTAAGTAAGTAGGTATAAATTATAGATACTTTCAATATTCTGTCTTTTAACTGTCAAAAAAATGTTATTAAATTCAGCCATAGGATGGTATAGGACAAAACGGTCATCCAATGCTTCCACGTTTTCCAGGATGGTCTAGATTCAATTGACTCATGAAATCAACTATTAAGAAATTACTAATAATAACCATAAAAACCCTTCTGATATTTTTAAAAATAGTTTAATATTTCTATTGGTTTAGTATCCTTAAGGATATTACAAATATCTTTAAATTAGCTCTTTACTTATAGTATTTGATGAGTTAGATAAAAAGAGTTGAAATATTGATGAACTCTGAGGATTTGTCTGCAGTATTCAGTTTGAAAACCATTTTCAGAAGGCAGCAAAGATTTATTTATGTAAACAGTTTATATGTGGTACAGTTTTGTTACAACCTTTTTTATGTTTTTTTTTTTTTCACTGTAAGTAGAAAACATTATCTGGCGAGACTATAATTAATGAACGAATCAATTAGATTTACGATAACAGGTCCCAGATTTCGGCGCGAAATTTATTCATCTATTTGGCTAAATAAAGTTTTGGCATCATAGCTGATGTCAGTTCGTGATGAAAACCCTAAATCTAACTCCTAACCTTAACTATCAACTGTAATTGAGAATTCTAACTGCTTTATAACGTTCATTTAGTCCTACTCAGTAGATGTCCACTCTCAAGGTCACTTCAGCGTCGTTCAAAGGTCATCCATAAATTATAGTCTCATCCATTATCTTTTGAATAAAAATCGTTGATTTATGTAAATGAAAGAAAGATTATAGGGTATATTGATGTATTTCAATTAATAAGAGATTAATGTCAATAGTTAACAGTGAACGATTTTATAAAACATACTGTCTAATTAGTAAACGTATTTTGAAATACGCATGCAATACTTGTATTTAATTCTGTTCACATGACACAAAAAAAAGTAGGTTAAAATTGTCTTTACATACCAGGAGTACATTTACTTCGAACACTCCAAACTCCATTTTGACAAATAGTAATTGGGTGATTTGGTTTAATCAATGCATAACCTATGTGACATGTTACATTCAATTCTGATCCATGTCTAACTCGTCCACCAGGTAAAATAATTTGATTAGAGATAGCATTTGTCAAGTGTATTTGTGTATTCCCTTCTATGCCAAATTCTTCAGTAGTGATTGGTATGATCTGTTTATCACCATAATTTTTACTATTTATTAAGTAGACATCTCCATGTTCTACAGTAAATAGATAGCAATGTCTATAACACTGTGGAAATGGTTGCGGTTTCCATATAGCCTTGGTGTCATTTACACTACAAATAACTTCATCAGTTTCAGCTGACAACGTTGTATCTGCTTCACATCTAGTTTAAAGTTAGAAATCAACCAATGATTATTATTCTTAGTAAAATTTCAAAACTGTATATTTTGAAGCATCTTTATATTACCTTAACTGTTCTTCCTATACAGCTTTGAGGTATTCATGGAAAAAACATCATAGCTGAAATTGTTAATCTGTCACTAAAACAACAAAGCCGGAAAATATTATCACTACTCAATCATATGATCTATAATAACTGACGTCTAGTGAGAAGCCTTGACAAGTGGAGTTCAACTATTTATAAAGTAACGCAAGCATCACCATACTCAGTGGATGATCGTCATGCAATATTTATTTGGCCTAATAATATAAACTATCTTCAAGGTTATAAATCAGATTTTTTCTATTCATAATGCAAATTAATTTCGGGTCGTATTATTCTAAATGTATATACCTTACTGTTTAATGGTTCGAATTATTTTTTCTGGTTTGCGTTTTTTAGCGAGTTAGTTTTTTCGCTAAACCCATAAACAATCCTCCTCCTTTATCCGGGCTTGGGACCGGCATTAGCCCCAGAAGGGCTCCACGAGGAGTTCTCCTGGTGGTCAACTGGATCATAAAGACGTCAATATCTGAGGGAAGCATGTGATACAATGAACAACAAGGATGCAGCTGGACGATCTAAACTTTGCAGATGATCTAGCTCTTTCATCGCACACGCAACAACAAATGCAGGAGAAGACCACCAGTATAGCAGTACCACTAAGTCTCAACATACACAAAGGGAAAAGCAAGATTCTCCGATACAACACAGCGTGCATCAATCAAATCACACTTGACGGAGAAGATTTGGAAGATGTAAAAACCTTTACGTATTTGGGCAGCATCAATGATGAACACGGTGGATGCCATGCAAAAGTGAAGGCGCGAATCAGTGAACCAAGGCCAGTATATTTACAACTGAAGAACATCTGTAACTCAAGGCAACTGTCAACCAACACCAAGGTCAGAATTTTCAATAGAAATGTCAAGACAGTTTTAATGTATAGTGCGGAAACTTGGGAATTACAAAAGCCATCATGCAGAAGATACAGGTGTTTATTAACAGTTGTCTACGCAAAATACTTCGGATCCGTTGGCTAGACACTATCAGCAACAACCTACTGTGGGAGAGAACAAACCACATCACAGAGGAGGATGAAGTGCTGGAAGTGGATAGGATACACGTTGAGGAAAGCACTGAACTGTGTCACAAGGCAAGTCCTCACTTGGAATCCTTAATGCCAAAGTAGAAGAGGACGATCGAAGATCATATTACACAGAGAAATGGAGACGGACATGATATGAAGAACAATTGGATAGAACAAGAAATGAAGCTCAGGATAGAGTGGATTGAAGAATGCTGGTCGGTGGCCTTTGCTTCATTGGGAGTAACAGGCGTAAGTAAGTAATATACGTTACTGTACAATGCATAAAATTTTATGCCCCCGTTGATAACGAGTACGTTCGGATTATTTAGCAACACTGAATGATATACAGCGTAAAATTTAATTTCGATTCCCAGTGGTTGACTACACGACAATACATTTCATTAAACCATAATTACCTAATGAGCTTAGACGGACGGGATGGTTAATTTTGTGGTTGTATTTATGGAAACTTTCAATGATTCGCCGACCTTGAATAACTAATGGAAAACTAAACATCCGTACATCTACTTATTTAATAATTACTGGATTGTTGATCTTCACCGAACGACAGTGACCATAAATACGATCAGAATAGATGCTTGTGAACGTTTAAGACTGAAATTGATCATTGAAATTACTGAGGTGATTTTAAGAATTAATCGCTTGGCATTAGTCTACATCTCTGACTAAGACAGTAAGTAATGTGAACTGAAATGGTTATCGAAATGTCAGTCACAAGGATTCTTAATATACTTACTTTAATTATTAAATTCTAACTACTGATTGAGCTTCCAAATATCGAATTTTATATGACTACATGACTATAAGATATTAAGATTTCAATGACTATACAGTGTACTGCTTATTTACTATAAAACTATGTCTTTAATTACAATGGTCAAAAGTATGCTTGAAATGGTTCACAATATTTATCTTATGGGATATTAAAAACGTCGTTGCATAGTAACCTGTTTTGAATAAAAATAGGTTTATTTTTTCAAAAGTTGTTTATCTGTTTACACTAAGTGTTTTCGTAAAAATAAACTGAAGTGTTAATTAACTAGTGACATCTGTCAGATGTTTTATTACTAAAGTATGTTGTTTTATTTATTTATTGTCACAGCATGAGTTTTATGACGTTCACGTTTGACGTCGTTAAACAGTTGTTAGTTAGGAAACAAAAAAAGATTTTTGGTAAGGGGTATTTTTATAAAAACTAATAAAAATTATGTGGTGCAGATAGTATTTTCAGTAAACACAAGAATTGTTAGTTAATGAATAGAAATAAACACAACGTCAGTAGCATGACGATCAAAAAACGTATTACCTCGGTTTTAATTCAACCCTGGTGATATTGTCGTTAATTAGACAAGATTGGCAGGACCCTGATCCTGCACTCATCCTATGTAGTGAGCACATAGAAGTAGTCGAGAAGTTCGTGTATCTGGGTAGCTGCATAAGTGCTGGTGGTGGCGTGGGTGATGAGATCAATTCACGTATAGTGAAAGCCAGAGAGGCTTATGCCAATCTGGACCATCTTTGGCGCCTTCCTGATGTCAGTCTGTCTGTAAGGGGTCGGACCTACAATGAGTCTGTGAGAGCATTTCTGCTCTATGCTTGTGAAACCTGGCCTCTCTGAGTTGAGGATGTTAGACGACTTTTTGTGTTTGATTATCGTCGTCTCCAAAGGATTGCTGACATCCAGTGGCATCCAGTGGAAAAATTACCTATGGCCGTACTTTTGCTAATTGAACTGGCCATCTCATTACTGTTATTTCACTATCATACACTAATTTATGTTCATTGTTGTACTTCTTTTTTCTTATATGCACCTTACATTCTTTATATCCTCACGTTCTCACTATTATTATGTGGCGCATATATACATGGTGCCCCATTGTACCAATATTTATGTGTTCAAATAAATAAAATAAATTGATGAAAGTTGTAATTTTCTCATATGTATTATAGTTATTAACTTTATTGAGTTTTGTGTTACTAATCAGTGTAACATTTGTGGACCTTCAGACATAATTTCAACCATGAAAAGGAAGATCCAACAAACCTTTCATTCTGACGGTTGATAGAAAATTTTTGCAATCTCTACTGGTGAGTTTATTCGACAGTATAGTACTTTTTAACACTAACTTTATAATGAACATGTAACTCAGTGATAATATTAAATTTGTGTCCATCATTTGTCACTATACTGTTTGCCTGGTGACGTGTCGATCAACTTTAGAATAAAGACATAGTAGTCAATCCTTGTCTAAACAACTCTGCTTATTAAACATCTAACTGTAATCTTGTCAGATACTTTATAACCTGCCTACATTCCTCTATTATTGGTGATATTGTTAACTACACACATGTTCATTTACATATATACTTGGTTTATGTATGTATGTTATCTATACTAAAGTTGGTTATTTTTAGTTGGTGTACTATTCACCTCATATAAAGATTCATTCACTCATCATCCCCTGAGTAGTCTATTATTTCAACTCATATACATTCCTCTTAATCTGTCTTCCAAAGTGAATGGATGAAAGATATTTATATGAAACACTTTCGTAATCGACTTTTTATTTCTATACTTTACTAGTGTACGTAGTCGACAAAGTATCTCAAAAGTAAGGCAGAATTTAGGAAAAGATGTTGGAGATGGACAGGTCATACATTATGAAATTCATCAAACTGAATCAAACTGAAAGCAAGCACTAACATGGAATCCTGACGGGAAACAGAAAAGAGGAAGATCGAAGAACACTGTACCGAGAATGGGATGCAAATATGAAATAGATGAATAGTAACTTAAAACAACGGGAAAGGATTACCGATGACGGAGTTGGATGGAGAATACTGGTTGGCGACCCATGCTCCTCAACGACGGATAACAGGCGTAAATCCTGTAATTGATTTTTAAATAACGAGAAACGTGCATTCTTCTTCCTGCCACTACAAACTATCCATAGTGTAAGCGATGCTTCAGTCAACAAATGTATTCAATAACTTCTGAATATTTACAAGTTGTGTATTGACGTTTTTTATTACGTTTAATATGAACGAGATGATACTAATAGCATGAATCTTAATTCTTACCAATTAAACTTAATGATAAATGCATTATGACATTTCATAATTTCGTGCAAGTAAGGAAAATGAAAAAGCTGAACTGTACATAATAAATTTGTACCTTAAGAACAAACATTAAGATAATTAAACACCACCGTATAAAGAGTATACACATGATCTTGACCAGTGGAGTTCAACTGGGTCTGTTGTGATATAGTAAGTCATTGAAGACATTGGTGAACCGTGGCTCAAGTTCATGAATTGGTTGAAGTTAGCCATTCACACCGTTGGATGCCGACTCAGTGGTTTAAAGGTTAAGCGTTCGCACGCTGTTTCGTCCCTTTGCTGGACTACTCAGCAGTGCGCATTCACGGTCCCGCTCGTGGCATTCGAACCCAGGGCCTTCAGTCTCGCTCGCAAACGCTTAAACTTTAGACATCTGAGTCGGCGTCCAACGGTATTAATGTCTAACTTCAACCAGTCCATGAAATTGTGCGACCATCTCACATTGTACTGAGACAGATGCCTGTCTCTACCCGACACGGATGAACTGCACTGGTCACGGCTTCTCATTGGAACTCCGAGAATTCCCTCACGACGCTAGTCACTAATGAGCACATAGTTATTACCAGTATGGGGTTGTGGAGATTCAAATCCTACATCCGTAATGGTTCATGTTTAACCTTCCACAGAAAAGAAATGTAATATCTTCAAAAAATCTACTGATCATGAAAATCACATTACCTCTGGTGGACTAAATATCAAACAATATCTTGAAAACGACATAATATTTTTGATTATCTGTCGCTGAAGAAATTAGGAACGATGAACCTTAACTCTCATATAAATCAGTTAGAAAAACGTGATCACTCATTTGTGTTGTTTTTAGCTACTCGGTTTGTTTTAAACACAATATATCATGATGAAATTGGCAAGTTTCATTTTTCTACTGACAAATTATTGATTTACATTGTGCTTTCATAATTGTCTTTAAAAGAATGAGTATTTTGAACTTACATTACTTTTCCTTTACTTCCATACGTTGTGGTTATAAATGATAGTTCACCGTTTTGAATTTGAGGTGGTGGTCCACAATCTTTTTCTACAAAACCATAAAATGAATAAGAAAACAAACATAAACCCCAGCAATTTTGACATTTTTTGTACGAAGAAGACATAAGAATATTCATCGGTGAATATTGTCGATTGAGACTTTCCAGAAGAACTTTAAAGTTAGTATGTACATCATTTTTATTAGAATAGATTTCTGAAGACTTTAAATTTCGAGTATAACACAATCTCATGAAATGATATTATTCAGAAACCATAGAAGAATACAGAGTGCTAAATAACTAGTCTATTTTTGTATCGAACTCTTCATTGTTTCATGCTTATCACTTTACAGGAGATCTAAGCCGAAATCTTGTGATTTCGAGGCAAGAACTTCAGCATAAAGTCACTGAGTCATTTTCCAATAGTTCACATTTCTATTGTCAGTGAATTTGTAATATTAGCTGATGGTCATTTATTGCCGTCAGTAAAACTTGTCTCCTTGTACTTGGTTAGATTTGCTCTATCGGTAACAGTTTTTCATTGAAACTTTGGTAATTCATCTCAATATTATTTGATATGTAGATTCACTCCAGATCATTTATGTTGTCAAATCAAACATTGCATCATAAACAAGCAGTTTATACATAGTTTTATACTATTCATTCTTCAAATGTGGAAAAACTACCATCAATAAATATGTGATAAACTCTTAATTGGTTGAAAAGTCTAAGGCCATGATTCCTAATAGACACAAACAATGCACTAATGATTACGTCACATTCGATTGTATTTACCAATTTACATGTTTGTTTGAACACACATACATAGGAGTAATCGAACAATTCAATCAAGGGTCAATGAACATGTGCCTAGATGGCTTCAAAATCAATGTGTGTCAAGTGATCCGATCAATGTAGGAGGTAGAAAACCAAGTTCATCGATAGCGAAACATAATTGAGACGGGACACAAAATTTTGTATAGAAATTGTCAAGGACGAATTCTTAAGTTTATTGAAGCCTTGGCTATTCGCAAAATTACCCCCCCCTTATGTGTACAAAAACAATTTGTCGTAACCTTGGGTTTACCTTGGTAATCCTTAATTCATTCTATGGCCTAGGATAACGCGACGATTTCTTATTCTCTCTCCCCCCTTAGTTATTTTACTTGAACTTTTATTTGTTTGACCTTAATTAATTTTCATTTAAAAAAGCCTTGACAAGTATATGTGTGACCAGATTGTTCGAAATGTATAGCGCAAATACATCACTCCGTCTTCTCATTGTTCTATCGAAACTCTTGACAACTGATGCTTAGATTCAAAGTAACACCCTTTTTGTGTAATGGTGAATATATTAAAGCAATAGTTTTTTTAATATTGAGTATTGATTTGTGATTTTAGACTGCCTATTACCATCATGGTTTCATAAAAATGTTGTTTATAATTGAGCAAGAGGATTCTACTGTAAACGCTAAAGATTTCATACTTAATTATCGAATGTAGTTGTGGTTCCATAACATGGATAAAAGAATTTTCAAAGGATTGTTTGAATAATATTTTTTGTTTATTGAAAGGGACTAGAGATTTTCTTTGTCATAAAGTGGTGTAGGCAATACAAATTATATTTTTACTATTTAGTGCTTTATTATACAAATTCAATGAATTACTCTCAGTTGGCAACAATTTACAATCAAACTTTCATTTGGCAACATTTTGTTTTGCAAATGCTCCATGAATTTCAATCTGAATTGTGGATTCAATTAATAAAATATTTTCTTAAATTTTTCTAAAAATTAGTCTTCCTGGCTATTTTATACTCCCTTACTACTTAGATATAAATCACCAAAGATCACTGTTTCAGCTTAGACATTATCAGTATTAAATGAACAGATTATTCATTAACAATGATAAATTCAAGCAACTAGTATACTAGTTCCTTAACTTGGAATCCTAAAGGAAAGCGGGAAAGATGAAGGTTGAAGAATAGACTACATTGTGAAATGGAAGCAGATGTGAAAAAGAATGATTGGAAAGTTGAAACAACTGTAAAGGATTGGCCAGGTCAAGGTTGGATGGAGAGTGCTGGTGGGCGGCCTGTGCTGTTCCACAAGCAGTAAGAGGTGTAAGTAAATAAGTATACTAGTTTCACTTAATACTGTTAATGAAACAATGTTACCGAAAAAAGTGAAATTTAACTTAACAGATATCAATTATTATTTCATTTGCACTCATCACATATTTTTTCTATTGAGCATTTTATCACTTAGTCTTTTATTAACTGTTATGAAGTTGAATTCACTTGGTATTGTTTACTTGAATCTTCCTATTAATGCTTAGGACTGCAATTGATCAGTCTCATATTGTCATATGTGCATACTGTGAGTATTGGCTTGATATCGCCTTCATTCACAAGCCCTATAAGCAAAGATGGATAGTGGCTAAGTGGATAACGCAATGGCGTTTGAAGTGAACTGTATTGGGTTCGAGTTCCAGAGTGAACATCAACTCTGAAATACAGGTTCATCCGGCTGACGAGTCGCAAGTAGGACGAAACGCGCGTCAAACTGTATCCCACTGCTAGCCACTATTCATATTTGCTTAAAATATTATGAAGTTTGTTCGTAATTCATAAAATTAGAGAATGAAGTCAAACATTTACTACACCAATCAAAATTGTCATAAGAAAAATACATTAAAGAAAATGATAATCCGAATAACTATAACATACTTTTACAATAAGGTTCCGATCCACTCCATTTTCCGTTTGTTTGACAAATTCTTTGCTGTGATCCATAAAGTTCATAACCTTCATCACATTTAGATATATGTGTTCCATTCACATTAAGTGAACTAATCACACTATTACCATTTAAAATTGCTTGTGGTTCTGTACAGGTAATGGCTATTTTAATGAAAACAATAAGCATAAATATTGAAATTAAACAATAAATCAATCAATCCTGATGCTAATCTCTATACAGTGTAATATATTGTGACTATTAAGAAGTGTTACATGTATTACATATACAACAACTTATTCGGATGTTCACTGAAGATCATCATAAGTGTGAAACGTAAGATTAAGATAAAATCAGTTTATTCCTATCAGCAACAACCCGACGAGGTCAATAAGAAAGTGAAACGTTCAGGTCCACATTATTATCGTCATTTACAGTTTAAGACTTTAAAGGACATCGTTCAACTTGTTCGTTCCTTCACTTCATTCTTATGTTAAGTTGTTCGTTGTTTATAATTGCTTGAATACCTATCTATCTGTTTATCACCTTCGCAAAACAGTGACGTTTGTATTTTTGTTTCAGTAAAAATGATTTCACGTACTAGTTTGTAGTATAAGACTATTAGGCATAGAGGGTATATATCTGTAAGCACAATTACTGGTTTACGTTTAGTTAAAATCTTATAAAGAATATAATGAACTAGTGTTCGTAATATATCATAGTGCTTTGTCCAGTGTAAGTCTACTATAATGGTGAATTTCAAACCACATTGCATTGATAAAATATTTCGGTTCAATTTCCCAATTGTCTACTACACTCACATGAAGACGAATGTACGTTAAGCGTTCATATTCCATATTAAGTTTAATTACCTTTGTATATTGTGTGTGCTTGATTCTATATAACAAATAGTTTTGAAAAAACAAAAAAAATCCGTAATATTAGGAAGACTTGTTTTCATTAGATGATTTACGCGAATTTGTACCATGAAATTATTGTGGAATCATTTGAAATTATAGTAAGTACTAAATTCAAGAATCAGTAGCTAAGTGGATAACGCGATGACGTTTGAAGCGAACGGTGCTGAGTTTGAGTCCCATAGTGAGCATCAACTCTGAGATGAAGGTACATCGATCTGACGAGTCCCGAGTGGAACAGAGCGAGCGTTCTGGATTCCACTGCTAGTCAATATCCATCTTTGCACACAGTGATAGTAAATACTGTTTGAAATCTTAAGAATTCACTGATATATAATGCTGATTTATAAAGTTTCATTATTAAATTACTGAACATGGATGTAATCTTGTTTATATTACATAATATGTTATTAAGATCTATTCATGAAACTATGTTTTGTGAAATATTAATGAATTCATATATTCGTAATGGGATAATCTTCAACTTACCTTTACACATTACCTCTTCTCCTGACCACGATCCATTTTCTAAGCAAATACGTTTACAACCTAAGAGTATCAAATTCATTATGAATACAAAACTTTGTAACATGTTTAAACTGTGAAACATTGTTAAATTAATCAGACTGTTTATATTACATGATTACTAAGTACTGAATAATGTCTTGCTTATTTATTGCATTAGTGTTAATTAACTTTTATTGATTGGATCGAAATGTGACTACTAACTAGTCCAGTCAGCTTGATATTACAAGTTCAAATCCTATTAGAAATATCATTTGCATCAAGATTCTAATACTCCTTCATAAGAAATGCCAACTAGAATGAAAACTATGTTCGGAGTTCGCCCCTCATTACGTCCAACCGAACTGCGTCACAAGGCAAGTCCTCACTTAGAATCCTTAATGCCAAAGGACAAGAGGACGATCAAAGAACACATTACACCGAGAAATGGAGACAGAAATGAGAAGAATGAAGAAGAATTGGATAGAACTAAAGAAAAAGGCCTAGGACAGAGTGGATTGAAGAAGGCTGGTCGATGGCCTATACTCTATTGGGAGTAACAAGCGTAAGTAAGTAAGTCAGTATGTTAGTACGTTCAACTACCTGACACAAATTGGGTTCTATGTAGCAATTTTTGTTTTTATTCTGCAGGAACTTCAAAGACTGATGATATCATTCATGAGTAAAGTTTATTTTTAAAATGATTAGTCTATTTTAGATTGAAAAAATTAGTGTTTCTCGGCATAACTGAGTGGTGTGAATGAACAAAAAAGTGAAGTATTTATTTATTCAGGTGAATTTAGTAATGGTTTCTTTTTTCCATTCAAAGTAAAATATCAGCCAAGTTATATAAAACTGATGTACTGAGTGATAAGCGCTTTCATTGTATACGTTGACTTAAATAGATAGTTGTATAAAGTCCTCAACCTGCTGAATATTAATATGTTGACATTGACGTATGAACTTTAGGTGCTATATAGCGTTGTTCATCAAACTACAAACGGTCATATATATATATATATACCACTGCGCAGAAATTTGTATGACTGACGTTTCTTTACTCAGTATAAGTCACTCTTTTAAAGTAAAAACAACTCACCGAAATAAATCACTACAGTAAGAAGCAAATAAAGCAGAATCTTAAGTCTGCAATTATCAATGTCATATTATTTTTGGTTAAGGTGATTCTGTATGCTAAATCATTGTGTTTTTGTTTTTGTGTGTCATGATGGATATGAAAAAGTGTATCATTTGTAATATGAAGTAATGGATTTAAGATCTTTTAGAGTCTGTTCAGAAGAATTCACTTGGTACTGTTTACTTGAATCTTCGCATTAATGTTTAGGACTGCAATTGATCAGTCTCATATTGTCATATGTGCATACTGTGAGTATTGCCTCGATATAGCCTTCATTCACAAGCATTATAAGCAAAGATGGGTAATGGCTAGCAGTGGAATTCAGGATGCGCGTTTATTCCTATTTGGCACTCGTCAGCTGGATGTACTTGCATATCAGAGTTGATGTTCGAGTCCCAGAGTGAACATTATTACATTCTATTCCTGACTATCGTTATATACTACTTGTGTGGATATAAGTAGCTCACACCATATCAGTAGTTTCGTTTTAACATTTTACTTGCTTCAAGATTTTAATTGCAAACTGACTTTCAAACTTGCTAGTTATTCATAATATTCAGTTTCATTCAGACAACACATTGGTAGATTAGTAAATAACTATTACTTCGTTTACACCATAGTTTCAGTGTCATAAGTAATTTCGTGTCACTCCATCAAAATGAATTTAACAGAATTTTTTCTACTCAAGTTTGTTTATTTTTAATCTTTGTAGTGCCCATATAACCTATCCTAGCTTCTGGATAGGCCAATTTATCCACTCTTCTTGAGCCACGTTTTGACCTTGTTAGTTGTTCACTTATCAACCCTGCCTGCTTTTATATGAGCGTATACGTGTGTACATTTCTTATCATATTCATCACATGTTTGTAACTTATTTTTATCTAGCCATAAATATTGATTAACGCTTGATTAAATGGAGTAAGCTCACATGTCTTCTCCACTGCACGTCGTTTCGCTTCCTTCGCTTTGTTCCTCTGATTGTTTGATTTACACAAGGTTTGTAGTGTAATCTGGGGATTATGTTTACTAATTGTATAAGAAATGTAAATAGTTTACGGTATAACATAGTCTATTTTAAATGACCGTTGAGTGGTAACTAATATCGTGTTTCTTAAGTCCATGACACTAATACCATTGATCAAGTTACCAAACATCCAAATAACTAGACACTGAGTGTGTTATATTGTTTCTTCGTTACGAATGTGAGGTAGTTAACACTAGACCACAGGCCCTGGTGTTTATGAATATTTTGCGTTTGTAAACCATAGCAACTGATACTCCTTATGGGATTAAAACCAACTTCACACATTATCAGATTCAAAGATATTAATATTGAACTAATACAGGTAGGACGGCTTAGGTCAGTAGTTCTGCCTCCAGATTTGTACTAATAATTTGGATATCAAATTCATAAAAAAACTTCGCCATGACTTAAACTTCATAACACACATCTCACTAAAACCAACTATGAGAAAAAACTTAGAAATAATAAATATTTTTTATTGCTAACCTAAGCCATTCTCCACTGACAACAAACCAGTATCGCAATGTACATTATAACCTTCTGAACATAAGATAATTGCTTCTGCTTGAAAACTTTGATCATATTTGTATTGAATATATCCGTAAGCTGGTTCTTTTATAAAACCACATGACACTCCTGTAACAAGAAAAATTAATAATTAATAAACATTTCGAAGTTGAATATTAATGTTCAGAATGTAATTCCACGAGCATAAGACACAAATTATCGTTTCACAAGATATAATTGGATGGTGGTTTCGAGATTCAAAGGTTCAAACTTCCAACTTCAAGAAGACTTCGATGTCACATACTCATTAAAAAAAGTGGATTTACTGAATTTTTACTAGTAGACGATGAACTGTGATGTTCAACCGTTGAAGGAAAATTATAGAAAGGAGTGACTGGATTATATTTTGTTAACACCATATTGTGAAACGATAGAAGTTAAATCTATAAGTCACTTGACTTGAAGACGATAGTTTAAGTGTATTGTTTCCATCGCAAATCTGAAGATCATTGATCTGATCTTATGTTGGGTGACCAAATTCCCACTTCTCCTATGCGGTCTGGTTTACTTGTATATAAACTACGTATGTCTGTTATATATATTATATTTTATATGTCCCGGACTAAACGGGCTGGGCTAGGCGAGAGGCTACAAACAGTACAGGCGACCAATAAGGATTTAGAGTTGACTCAAGGCTGTGACTGCTGTTTGACGTGTCATTGGATTATCACAGTGAAAAAGTCATATTTGTTGGTATTCTGATTAGCAATTTTGTCACATGGTAATTGATAGGGCGTAAGTGATACCAAAAACTTTAACATTACAACCTCTATTTTAATTAAGGCAAATCCTATATGAAGGGTTTGTATTTTAACTTGGTTGACATTGAGGACTGAAAATGATTAATTTCTGTCGTTATACGTGCATCCTCACAAGTTTTAATAATGTTAGATTGCAGCTACAATTACAATACAAAACGTGTGTTTCGTTCTATTTGGAACTCATCAGCAGGGCGTAAATGTAACCTAATATTCATGTTCTCGGAATGATTAAAAACCAGTGTCTGCCGTTCTGAAAGCCAAGACAGTATTTTTCAGGCTGGATTTTACTGATAACATTAATCTAACTTTACTGAAAGAAAAATTTTAGTGTGAAGAACTTAAATACATTTAAAATATGTGAAATTTCATATCGTTTTGAAAACAAACGTTTACCAAGTCTTTTGTGGAGGGACAAAGGTCGCCCGCCAGCGCTCCACTTGTAGCTCTTCTAGAGTTACTGCCGGTCTCAAGCTCGGGTAAAGGAGGAGGGTTGGGTAAGGGGTTACCATCCCATCCCGTAGAAAACTAACTCGCTAAAAAAACGCTAACCAGGCGATAGTTTAGCTAAGTGAAACATATCTTAACGTTAAATTATTTGAAAAATGGTCTAGCTCTAGTTATGCTTACTCTCACATTTCAATTCTGAATAGTACCATTCCGTTCCAACACATGATGCTTCTATAAATTGTCTCTCTGAATCCATATATCCAGGAATACATTCAATTCTCACTTTTTCACCTGATCGAAAGTCATCACGAATCTTCTCTGGGACATTTTGATTTGACTGAATTATTCGTGTGTTTAAGATAGCCGGTGGACTAAAACAAGCTTAAATAAGTTAAAAATAAACGAATTGTTTGTATTAATTTACAAGTATCGAAATAGATACATCAAAAGTTTCTTAATTACGTAATGACTATACAACAATTGTGCATACAATGTCACTGTTTCAAATTATGGTGACATATATTCAGTAATTTTTGTAACAACAAAAATAAAAACCATATGTTTTTTCTAATTTGTCACATTTTAGTTGTAACCACATTTTTATTCAATATCTGTTGTTTTGCCGTATCACTTGTTAGAAAAGACGATGATAATTGTTTCCATGACCGATATACGATTCTACTACCGCGTTGTTTAAAATATAGAACACTATCTACGCCGTTTGTTCTTCTGTTTTATTGGCCACCTTTTTGATTGAAGACTATAATAGTATTATAACATCATCATAGGCCTTCCGACTCAACGTTGGACTTTTGGCGCGGATTACTATTGTATAATACTATTGGACTCCGTTTTCCTCATTACGTCATTGGTGTAGTCACTTGCAGAGGAACACCTGTCAATCAAGTGAACTCAGTTTGTGGTCGTTGTTCTCACGAGGCAGTTCACAAGTAACATTCATTCTATAGTAACTGTTAGCGTCTGTTTTGTTTAATATACCTTTTGTATTGCTAACGGTATTTTATTACCTTTGTTTTTACTAACGGACAGACATCTAGGTTTCTTAATCAATAATTTGTTTTGGTATATCATTGTTAACCTAGTGTATCAATATATTTTGTGTAAGCTCTTTTTGTTTGGGAACCACCACAAAATTAAAAAAACGTTTGATGAATCCTAACTATTGTTGATCACTTACATGTTTCTCATAAACTTTGAAAAATTATACACCAGAATGTGAACAAACGATGTTATTTAACAGAACAATCTACTTGTTTGTAAATGGAAGATTTTACAAGCTTTAAATTACGTTATGTTGTCTGAGCCAACCTTTGAGCTCACAATTAATTGGGAAGCTTTGGTCGTTGTTCTAGATAAAATTTACTGGGATCAAAAAGGAACCCACACCATCTATACATATCTGAATAGAAAGTATGAGTGAAACTACATGAAATTTTGTAACTCATATTAGTGTACAAGGACAACCAGGAATATTAGTTTGATTGAGGAAAAGTCGGTATGCTGAAATGAGAATATTCAAAGAATAAAAGACGATTTTTGGAAGCATGACATTCAAGTGATTCTGTAATCTGTAGATATACTAACATAGACTCTATTCGTCCATTTATGCAGATAAAGAAGACAGTTAGCAGAAATATCAAGACAGGTAAAGCTAAAGTGTCCTGGGAAACAATCAATCACTGACTAGTTCATGAGAACGGACTGATTTGTCACTATTGTGACACTTAAGTAACACATTTTCTCTCAAACTTCTGATGATATTGTCTAGAGCTACAACAAAAAGTGTATAATTAAATCATGAACACAGAGAATATAAGACAACCTAAATTTTGATATGCTTTATCAATAAACTGATTCATTTACACACTACTTCAGAATATTATAGTCATTAAAGCTGATATACTCAACAAACAAACAAACAAATATCGATATTGTCACTCATCTGCATATAATGTAGGACTTTGAACAAATGTCCATCTGTTTAACTCATCATACCTCATGCCGAAAAGTAAACAGAATGTTAACGTCACTGATGATGATGAAACAAAAGTATTATACTTTGAGAAAATGTAGGAAATCAAATCAGTAAAAAATCAGAAATGTTAACAAGAGTGAAAAATCAAAACGAAGATTATTGATGAATATATCTGTAACACTGTCATAACGCTTGGTATCCGAGTCTGATACTGAGACACAAACATCCTACGAGTAGCGATGCAACTGGCTATGGAGTCGGAAAACTGAAAGCGAGAACGGAAGTGTAAGGGGCTAAATCAGATCAAATGTATAAGTATTCATTTACTGTATGAAGTTTTGGAGATTGTTGAGTTCCGTCGAAATCATGGATCAAATCAAGTTAAACCTCCACTGAAAACTTGAAAACTATGAGTAGCCAGTTTTTTCTACTATGAAAATCGTCAACAGTGAGAATCTACGATCCTTCACGTAAGACTCGAATCTCTGGACTTGCGTTCAAGCATGAGAACGCTTAAACTCTAGACCAATAAACCGATGTTAATATTAAACTTCAATCGATCCACAACATTGCACCGCCATTTTCACTTATATGTATATCTATTCCTTAGAAAATGAAAGCATTTCATGTTCAACAACATGCACCAGTTACTAAGACATTTTTTATTAGAACAACGTGGCCTTCTCATTTGGTGACTTTGATTGGCCCACTGTTTTAGACACTATGACTGAACTTCAGTCACACTGTCATGTCATGATACCCCAGTGTTGAATCCAATTTCAACACAGCCTCCATTGAACTACCGTGTATAAATAGTTAATCACATTTTAAGAAGGTATGATGTTCACGTTATCACTAGTAAGTATGTTGAGTTATCCTGTTGTTGATGTCTGAAGATTCCAACTAAGATTAAAACTCGCGGAATTCAACCAGTAAATCTTCACTCTTGGCATTTATTTAGGTTGAAAATTCACTTACCGGATCATTTTATCTTTAATATTAACCTTTTAAAGCATATACTACAAAATATCTTAATATGAATTTACTAACAAACAATGTGTTTATCATACTTTCAGTCTGATTACTGCATGTTGGTGCCTCACCACTCCAACTTAACGTTGCTAAACAATGTCGTTTACGCTGTCCTCGAACAGTTAAACCTGGTTTACATGTATATTCCACAATATCTCCGACATCTGTATCATTGAATACAACATTTCCATTTAATAATGGTGCAGGATCTGGACATTTAGCATTTTCTAAAAAAAATTCATACAAAAAACAAAAGTGAATCTCTAACTTCAGTACCATTAAGTTAAGCTAAACTTTACAACAAACGTTGTATTTAATTCAATCAATTATAAGTAACATAGAACCTAGGGTAAATGTACATCGGTTCAAGTTGTTGGGCTACACAAATACAACAAGATCAATATCGAAGTAGTAGTAGTTATGGTATCAGCGTTAGTAAGTAAAAATTAGTTAAAAGAAATGTGATTTTAGATGAAGGAATGAATTCGAGGATGAAAATATACGAACTAACTTCAAAACTTAGGATCTAAGAAAAAAATGGTCTGTGCCACTATGACCAATTATAATCAAAGTCATCCAACGTTTCCAACCATTGGACACTAACCAAAACGCGACAGTCTTCACTTGTCAACCTGACTGACTGATGTTACGTCTTAGTTCGATTGCTTCCTGCGGTTTGGAGTAAAAGATGGTTAGAAATACATTATTTATATCTTAACCACCTCAAATGATGAATATTCACAAATTCATAAAGCTAGTACGTTTCAAGAGTATAACTCAATGATAAACCTGAGAATTGCATTAAATTATTGAATATTGACTGGGTGAATTGTGTAGGTGATGGAAAAGTTTCCATTTTAAGCAACAATTGTGCACAGGTGGATAGTGGCTAGCAGTGGAATCCAGGACGTGCGTTTCGTCCTATTTTGAGACACGTCAGCTGGATGTACCTGCATCTCAGAGCTGATGTTCACTCTGTGACTCGAATTGACTACCGTTCGCTTCAAACGTCATCGCGTTATCCACTTAACTATGGAACTACTGAGTTGTAATATGTGAATTGTGACTATATTTATGATTCAGTGTTTGATTACATTCAATCGCTAAAATTATTCTTCATAACGCATAATAATTTAACTAGAAGTCAGTTAACATCAACACTATTTAACAATTGATAGTGCAAATGGTCTAAAACTGAACTTCCATGACATCTACAAATCCCTACTGTAATCTCTGTGATGCTTTATGGATGACGATGAATTATGGTATAATAACTAACCAACGTTACGTGATACTAAATGATTCCTAATGATGCATAACTTAAAATAATCGTTTATTGGATCTGCATCTCATTTCAAATGAGATTTTATTCAGAAATTGATAATTAGTTATAATTGCATGAAAAAACAACTTTATCCTTTCAAGATTTCTCTGTTCAGTAACAAGTATTGACAATAAGTACGATGAATTGAAAGTAGTTGGAATGTAGTAATATAAAGTATTTGTTATATCTAGAGCTTATATTGTGAATCAAATGTCAACACAGCATCCATCGAACTACCACGTCCAAATAGTTGATCACATTTTAAAAAAGTATAATTTATCATTCATATTGCTTAATACATCAATATTGTTCACATTCATCGGTCTTCGTGAAGCATATTTTTTAGATCTTAAAGTAGATTGTAATGCAGTCATCAAAATCCAAGATTCATCGTACAAATTCATTCACTATCATACAATTCATTAAGTTATAACAGAACATTCTTGTCAATTCGGCGAAGGTTGGGATTATGGCAGAAACACCATAATAAGAGAGTTTATAATGTCGATAAATGAATGTGGTGTAGTGAATAAGAACACGAGTGGGGACAATGGAATGTACTTAAACAATAACTTACAGAACATCTCACTAAAATCTTGGAACCATACAGTAAAAAGTTATTTTGCAAACTATCAATCACTTGTCTCAAACTTCACTGCTCCTTTTGCAAATATCAGTCTCTAGTCTCAGATTTCATTGTTCGTGCATTTTCATTATTGTTATTATTATTATTATTATTATTATTATTATTATTATTAATGGCTTTATTCAATATTATATTTTGGTACAATATAGAATTCTCATACCGATTGCTTTCCGTTTCTGCTCTTTCCTTTTCGATCTTCTACTGAAATACATTCTAGTACTGACCATGATTGTATACTACTTGTGTGGATATAAGTAGCTCATACCACAGTGGTTTTAAATTCAAAAAGAATTATTTATTCCTTCAAGATTGATATATGTGCCTTAATAATTGGTATAGAAGGATTGAAAACCTGGAGTTTTTTTTACTTTATATTGATTTCTTTCAATTACCTACCATCTAGACTAAATGGAATACATTTTATATAGATAGATATGTTTTGAATTAGTTGAAGCCGAAACCGGATGTAACTTAGTGTACAGGTAATTGTTATTTAGCAGAGCACTAATTACATCGTTTGAAATTTATTAAAACACCTTGACAGAAATGTAGGTGACTATCTTACCCCTTACATATATATATGTATGATGACGCTGATTTGTTTCGTCATTTCTGGAAATGTTCTATCTACTCCTTAAATACCGAACGATCTCTATTGAAGGAGCACGATATTTACCTTGACTAGAGAGATTATGATTTTTAAGTTTATAACATAAGTAGATGTTTCGTAATATTTAAAGTATCAAAAAAGTCACAATAACCTGGAGTCAATTTTTGTTATCCTCTGATATCTGCATGAATAATCGTATAAAAACGTTGAAGGCTTAAACAATGCAATCAAATTTGAAAAAAGCTTCCCTCAAATTTGTTCTGGCTTCTACTGATTCTTCGGATGTGAATTGTTCATAACAAGAATAATGTCGATAAAACTAACTCAATAATAAACCGGTATTTAAATCAAAACAAGTCTTATAATGTTAGTTAATCATTTGAGACAGTCATCTTTTATGTCAGTTGGATGAATTCTTTGGAATGTCTAGCGTTTTTAGTGTACAGATTTGAGACGTTGTAGATATGCATTCCAAGTAAGGACCGGAGTCAGACAAGGCTGTTTACTCTCTCCCTTCCTCTTTCTTCTGGTGGTCGACTGGTCGACCTCGACATCTGAAGGAAAACACGGAATACAATGGACAGCTCAAAATCAATTAGACGATTTGGACTTCGCAGATGACCTAGCTCTCCTATCGCATACACACGAACAGATGCAGACAAAGACAGCCAATGTAGCAGCAGTCTCTGCATCAGTAGGCCTCAGCATACACAAAGGGAAAACTAAGGTCCTCAAATTCAAAGCGGAGAACAGCAATCCAATCACACTTGATGGCGAAACTCTGGAAGATGTAGAGTCCTTCACATACCTGGGAAGCATCATCGATGAACAAGGAGGATCCGATGCAGACGTAAAGGCGAGGATCGGCAAAGCAAGGGCCGCTTTCCTACAATTGAAGAACATATGGAACTCAAAACAACTTTCAACCAATATCAAAGTGAGAATCTTCAATACGAACGTCAAGGCAGTTCTACTGTATGGAGCTGAAACTTGGAGAACTACAGCAACCACAATCAAGAAAGTACAAGTATTTATAAATAGCTGTCTTCGCAAGATACTCAACATCCATTGGCCGGATACCATCAGCAATAGCCTTTTGTGGGAGAGAACAAACCAACTTTCAGCTGAAGAGGAAATTAGGAAAAGACGATGGAAATGGATATGACATACATTACGCAAATCGTCAAACTGCATCACGAGGCAAGACCTAACTTGGAATCCTGAAGGGAAGCGGAAAAGAGGAAGGCCAAAGAACACATTGCGTCGGATAATAGAAGCAGATATGAAAAGGATGAATAGGAACTGGAAGGAGCTGGAAAGGATTGCCCAGGACAGGGTTGGATGGAGAATGCTGGTGAGCGGCCTATGCTCCTTTACGAGGAGTAACAGGCGTAAGTAAGTAAGTAAGATATGCATTATTTTTTTACATCTGACAACTTTATTACTGTATTTATCGACTTCATCATGTAGTCATTTGATTGATCATCATTATAAATTATACAGATTGGCATTTATAGCACTTAATTGTTAACTGAATAAAACAGATTACTCATAGATAAAGTTGACCGTAGCCTGAATATTTTATTGACAATTTTCATCTGAAACACTGAATGAATTCATTTAAAACTCTTTCAAGTGTATAAATTTTCAGTGAATTTCAGGTTCAAGAAATATGACTGTCATGGTAGAATTACTTAGTTATTTAGTGTGTGTTTTTTTAATTTTGTCAAATACTCTATGAAGTGGAACATAATTACTTCTGAATATTTGTCTTCTTAAAATAACAAATAGTGACAACTGAATAAAATAAATGATCAGCGAAATTGTAATCATGGATTGGTTGAGGTTAGACATTAACACTGTTGGATGCCGGCTCAGTGGTCTAGAGGTTAAACGTTCGCGCGCGAGACTGGGGCTCTGGGTTCGAATCCCGCGAGCGAGACCGTGGGTGTGCACTGCTGAGGAGTCCCACAAAATGATAATACGGTCGTCCAGTGCTTCGAGGTTCCCAACGGTGGTCAAACATCAATCGGTTCATGATCTCAATCAACAAAATTGTAATTTTCGATAGATTGAAAGAATGCTCAGAAATTCAACAGCTGTTGGAAACATGTGCTATTTGTTTGAAGGCCATTCTTTTATTTATTGGCTGAAACTGATTGTTAATGACTGGATAATATGTTACTACGAATGTTATAACAATTCCTGATATTCAACGGATTCCTATACCAGGGATTGAAGCTCTAATATTCACGATTGTCTGCTATCCCGTTATTCTTTGAGATCATTAACCTATTGGTGGTAAACAACCATTGAAAACTCAGAAGCACTGGACGGCCGCTTCGTCCTATTGTGGGGCTCTTCAGTATTGGGCATGCACGATCACGCTCAAAAGATTCAAAAGCAAACGCTTTACCTCTAGACCACTTAGCCCGCATTCAACAATGTTTATGTCTAACTTCAACCGATCTACGAAATTGTGAGAAGTGATGACCATTCAAGTTCAACCAGGTCTGTTGTGAGATAATAACTCATTGAAGACAATGGTGGACGATGGCACAATTTCTTGGTTTCTTTGAAACTGTTGAATGTATTTTATTCTATACTAAACAATTATGTCACATAGATCATTTTCGTTCATTCATTT